GTCAAGCAGAAGAAAGTTGTTTTCATCACTACCAGAATTTAGTAGGAAGGTCAAAAAACCCTATATTTTTAAAAATGGAGATTGCACGTAAACTTTGGGAAAGGCTGCCCGGTGTGCCAAACCATTCCCAGCCCTCCTTGCTGAGCTATTTTCATAGTTCTCCAGAGATTGCTGTCTCTGGCCATTCATGGAGGTGCTGGGATAAATTTATAGTGGTTTCAGATGTTGTCTTGAAACTTCTTGAAACTGAACATATCTGCACAGAATCTTTTCATAGTGTCACCCACGTATGAAGTTCTGACTTTTTGTCCAAGTCAGATTTACTGTATTGGAACAAATCAACAGTAGTCTTAGTCAACACTAAATCTTTTCTGGAGTTATTTTTGCTTGACACTTGATGCAAGGTGCTTTGGACTTAAACTAGATGGGAAATCAGATTAGTGGTTAAAAAACCCAAAGCAATCATTTAGGACTTACTTTTCTTTCTTTTTTCCTTTAGTCTTCAATCAGTGGACTTCGAAGCTGTAGCTGTTACAGTAAAAGAGCTGGTCAGCTATGCGTTGACTATCAATGCAAACAACCACTTCTGGTTAATTATTCAGGCAGATATTTATTTTGGTAAGTGAAACCAATGTCTGGTTTTAGCATATGTGTAGGGGTACCTTGCTGCTCTGGGTTTTGCTTGACATAATCCTCCCTGTATTTTCTCTTATGAAAAATAAGTTTAAGTGACACATGAGGTTAAAATCTTCAGAGGGGATAGTGTAGGTGTATTTGGGAGGTTGTCTAAGCCCACAGAGAGACTAAGCTTCCAATGGGTCATGCAGACTTGCTTTTAGAGTAAGGGGAACTTTAACAGTCCACTTTAAATTTACTTTTGTAGTGCAGTTGGTTCTTGAGTGGTATAATTGTGCAAACTCCTGACAATTGAGTGTTTTATAAGTGAATGGAAAGTTGTGAATAGTGGTTGCTTTTAAATTTGGAGATCAGCTTCACTGGAGCAGAAGATGAGCAGAGTGGAGAGGATCTGTATTTTATATAGAGAAGTCTCTAGGCTTTGTAAAAGAGGAAGTATGAACTCATCTGGTATTGGTTGTGATGGGAAGTGCTTCCCTGTCATTCTGTCCTCACCTGCCACTCCCCCAGTATTTATTCTTGCCCCTCAGCTGGGAGCAGCCAGCAGAATTAGGACAATACAAAGAGTTTTAGGTTCTGGGCACCATGACAGCGTATCCAGACCACACCAGGGCAGCAGTTGCCTGGGGAAAACTTGCCCAGCCTGTGTGATACTATGCTCTGTTAAATTATTCCCCAGTCTAGAGTCAGTTCCTGGGGCTTGCTTTATAGTGTGAGTAAATAGAGCAGAAGGGTAGGTGCAGAAGAATGAACTTCCTGAAGACAACCAGACAGGTAGGGTACTGCCTGTTGTATGTGCTAGAGAAGGACATGGCCATAGCCAAACTCAGAGTGACCATTCTTCCACTTAAATTATCTGCTGAAACCACTTTAGTGAAATTTAGCTTTCACACCAGATGGTTCTTTTCTGGCCATAAAATGGTATTTTCTGTGCCTCTGGCATCTACTTGCCAGTACTTTGGGCTATCACAGAGTCAAGGTGCAAGTTTCCAAATCTGTTTTTGGACTGGAAGGATGTCTGTGGTGTACAGTAAGATGTAGTGCAGAAATGCGAGTCTGTTGCTCCCAAAGGAGACCCATTTGTCTAGAAGATGCTTTATAATCCTTGGGGTGAGGGGAAGGGTCTAATCAAGTGTTCAGTGCTGTCACCTTATATATGGGAGAATGATTCAGGGTTATAAACTGGCAGTTTACTGCTTGTATGAAGTGCAGCAGCATCCCGGAAGGAAACATTATGTAGGGATCCTCAAATCCGGTGCCTGAAACAACAGTGGTTGGAGCACTCCTGGCATGTGCCAGGTCTGTATTTCAGCAGCAATGTGGACAAGCTGCTCCTGCCGCAGAGCCCCTGGAGGTCTTATCCTCATTTCAGGAAGAGCTGGGAGTAGAACTGATGCTGAACCATGAGAGGCCTGTGGTGGCATCAGCTGTTCCTCTCACTTCACCAACTAAACTTCTTTACTGCCACTGTGTGTGCTAAGTTCGCTGAAGGCAAACTTCTTTTCCACTCTTAGTGCTGATGGATTCAAGATAACTACCTGAAAAAATTAAAAGTATTTCTCAAAAGGCAGAACTTTGTGTATGATACTAGTTTTCCTGATTATGTAGTTTCCCATCCATCTATCACTGTTTTACCACCTCCTGTGTGTCCATGCTTTTTAAACAATGGTACACAAGTCACTTCCCCAGTAGAATTCAGCTATGAAATATATATATCTGAATAATTCTATAAATAATTGATCTGACTACTAAGTAACTGCTGTATTTACTTTTAAGACCTTATTTTGCTTTTTTCCATGGCAGCAACGAATCAGTATTCAGCAGCCCTTCACTATTACCTACAGGCAGGAGCTGTATGCTCAGACTTCTTTAATAAGATGGTGCCACCAGATGTGTACACAGACCAGGTGAGTTAAAGTGGGATTTAGATTTACAAAAATCCCTGGATTCAGTCAGCATCCTGATTCTACATAGAGACAAAACTGTTCAGCATACACACATTCCTGTAGCCTCTGGGGTTTTATATCTGTGCTTCCAGTGCTGGTATCGCATGGACGGAGCCTGCTTGTTTCCACCCGTGGTGCAGGCAAACTTTGTGTCCTGTCTAAATGCTTCTGAAATACTGTCTGCTCCGGTTAACATGGAAGAGGGTAAGAAGCATGGATCACATTAGTAGTGAGATCCATACAACACTGGCTCCTTTTCCCACGCACTGGTACTTTTTCCCCAGACTCTGACTGAGCAGAGCTGCATCAGGGCTGTGCAGGATTGTCTAGAAAGGGGTGGGACTGTAGTTTACCCTTGTCAGGGCGTGCTGGAGGCACAGCAGAGCAGGTATCTGTGCACTTTGCAAGTGGGTGTAACAAGTGGTTTGTCACTTGTGAATGGGCTGTGAGTGAGAGCCCCATCATCTCTCTGTGTTCTGGGGGAATCCTCAATCCCAGACACAGCATGTATCGTGCAGGTTGTCACTTAACCTTTTTCCAGGCATTTGCTTGTTCATTAGGAAACCATTGCGTTCCTTGTAGTCTGTGTTTTGCTAGGCAGTAGGAAGGAACTGTCTAGACCCAAGGAAGGTGTCCTATCCAATTACTATTCCTTTCATGTTCCCATTTATAGGGCCAGTGAGAGCTCCAGATGCCATCTGGAAATCCTGAATGTTCACAGCCTGGTCTAAGCTGTGCCTTGTGCCAGGCTGCCATGGTGCAGGAGTCCCAGAGGGACGCCTGTGCTGTCACACAGCACCAGGGGCCTGCCTTGGTGTCAGAGCTTTGTCAGTGCTGGTCCCACCCACCAGGCCTTTCCTGTGGGTGGCAGGACGTAAAGGTGAAGCTTTTTGCCAGAGCAGAGGGCCTGGCTGCCTCACACAAACACAGGGTGCTGCTCCTCAGCACATGCTGACCCTTGGGACATCTCTGAAGTGATGAACGCTCAGTTGATCAGTGGATATGCTAAAACCCCAAGGTTAGGGGGCTTAGAAGAATGTAAATAGCTATTTAGTGGGTCCCTTGCATTAAAAAAAAAAAAATCAGAAAAATTGCTGTTTGTGTTCCAAAATGAGCATCTCAGAACTTGTGTTTTGTGTTTTTAACCCTTCTCTAGGTGATAAAAAGAATGATCAAGTGCTGCTCTTTACTAAACTGTCACACCCAGGTGAGAGGTGAAACATGGCATTAAGTAAAATATTTGTTAATATTTTGATGATAAAAAGCGGGGAGAACTTTTTTAAAAAGACTAAATCCAACTTTCCTTGGAAAGGCAATCTGCAGCAAAGTAGATTTTGTTGTTACCTTTGCTTCTAGGACACACAAAGGACTGAAATTAATGAGTAAATAAACATATATTTGGAAATGTTCTAAAAAGTAGTAGTCTGTGAGTGCTTTAGCCTACTTTTCTCTTATAATGCAGATTTTTTTTTAGAGGAACAGTACAGTATCTGTGGGGTGGTGTTGGGAACCTGGCCTTGTTCTTCATGATAACCACAGGTGGCTGTTGCTGTTCAGTGGGATCGTTCATTCTCCAAGAAGTAACAAGCTTATATTTGGCTCTGATTTAAAAGCTGTTAAATGCATTTAGAAACCTGGAAACCAAGTCAGTCCCTTCAGATCTGAGTAAATTCCTCTTAGGTATCGCCACTGTTGATGTGTCAGAACAAGCCCTATTCAGGTGCTCAGAATTTGCTAAAACTAGATTAGGTCCAGAAAGGCACTGGGATTAGCAAGGTGGTGTGTGGAAGGTTTTAGTGTGGGTGGAATTCAGGCTGTCAGAATCACTGCAAGTCTTTCCTTACAGGTAGCTATTTTGTGCCAGTTCCTCAGAGAAGTTGATTATAAAACTGCGTTTAAGGCACTGCAGGAACAGAACAGGTAAATGTTACAACAAAGTTTATAGATGCATAAACCCAGAATGTGAATGTGTCAGTTAACCTAACCTGCCTTGTCCTTCAGTCATGATGCCATGGATTCTTACTATGAATACATCTGGGATGTCACCATCTTGGAGTATTTGACATGTATCCTTTTGCTGGAATGCCACTCATAGTGGATGTTCCCAGCTGGGATAAGTCTGTTTCCTCTCTAAGTGACTTGCCTTGACTGGCCCTCAGATCTCCACCACAAAAGAGGCGAGACAGACAAGCGGCAGATAGCAGTAAGTTAAACTGGGGGGCTCAGGGTGCTGGCATTTCTTTAGAGCGTCTTTCCTTCCCTGAAACCACATTTAAAAAGAATTGCCACTTCCAGTTTTAATTTTGTCACACAATTCTTTTAGAGTCTGTGTGCTCCTGTGAAGCTGTGGCTCTAAAGTTGTAGGGATGGGGTGGCAGAGCATGTTACAGAAATAAATCACCCACGGAACTAGTGCTGAAAATGCCTTGAAATGAAACAGCTTTACTGGAAGGCCTTTTGCTAATGGTGTCTCTCCTCTTCTGTTTCAAGATAAAAGCCATTGGCCAGACAGAGCTGAATGCCAGTAATCCAGAGGAAGTCCTACAGCTTGCTGCACAGAGAAGGAAAAAGAAGTTTCTTCAAGCAATGGCAAAACTTTACTTCTAGGCAAATGCTGGAAGATTTATTATAAAACACATAAAAGTGAAAAAAAATCTTTCAAGACTTTATTATTTTTAAAAACGCATTTAAATTTTTATACAACATTTACAGCCTAGTATCTTTCTTCTTAGAAATAGATGAAATCTTATAATAAACCCCTTATTTTTACAAACTGTACAGAAGGCTGGAAGCAACTTCAGCTAGTTCCACAATGGCTTGTTTGAAGAAGACATGAATTCAAGTTTGTCAAGTTGGTGTGAGTGTAATGTGGATGTGGGTGGCACCTGATGCTCTAGTGCAGCTTCAGGGGCTGCTCAGTGTCATGTAACACTTGTCCCTGGACATGAGGCACAGGTAAGAGCATCATGAAAGAGGGAGGAGGACTGATACCCATCTTTCCCAGTACTGCCCTTCATCACAGAAGTGACTCAGAGGTAGTGAATATTCCAAGAAAAACACAGTAGTTAATGCTGTTTATAAAACACTGATAACTTACAGCTCCACAGTTTAAAATACTGTTCCTATGACGGGAGTGGTTGTAGAGTACCTGCAGCTCACTTTATTCCATACCTTCTCCAGTTCTCATTATGTTCTTTTTGCAAGTTGGTGGCTGGCTCGTATAGGAGAGAACTCCTTCCTTCCAGGACTGTACTTCCAGTTATGGTTACTTCAGCAGCAGGTCCTTTGCTGATACTCTTACCTGAGGTCAGTGATAACATTAAAACCAAAGTTTATGGCAGGCTTAAATGGCTGCCAGAAATTTATCAGCCTCCTGTGGAGCTGGAATTTGATACAAGGCTGGCTACACTGTACTGCACCGGCAGAGTGGTTTCAGACATAAACTGCTTACCCACAGGCCTCTGTAATACTGCACCTGAGCTGGGGGACTAACTGACAGGCAGTGAGCTCTGACCTTAGCAAGAGAAGGAAAAGAACAAGTCACGAAGTGGTAATCGGTACAAGCTGTCAATAAGTTCTCCTGCACATTTAGCCCAAATTAAAGCAAGTGTGACATGTAAGCTGAGTGGACCAATTTTTCCACTAGGCACTATTAAAAAAGTTCTTGAAATTAATAAGTTAGGAATGGTGAGAATTAAACTAAGTTGTGTCATAATGGACCAAGGTGGTCCGGGCTCCTGTGACAGCAGGGTGGAATGCTCAGCTGAACTCTTTTTGTCAAGTCTCAAGGATGATGCTGGTCTCAATTTCCTGCTGTGTCTTTTACTGCCAAAGTCTTGAATAGCAGTAAAGAACATGAGTCACCTTTAGTGTGGTCTTGTTCTGAAGCACCAAGTCCTGTTTCTGAATCTGTTAATGATGTTTGACTATTTCATTTCTTCTCTGTGCTTTTGGGAGGAGTTATTATTCCACCTGTTGACAGGGGCGATAACTGACCTGGGGCAGTGGACACTACTCCACTGTTCACTTCTTCCTGTGAATGGGGGGAAGAAGACACCAGTTAGTACCCGCCACAAGGTTGGCTCTTTTGTGTCACTAGTCAGCAGTGCTACCTCACACCACTCATACAATTCAAGTACTCCAGAGTTAGGATACTGAGTAAAGCCAAGGTGACATTACACAATGAAGTAAAGATTATTATCTTAGGAACACCTCTCCAGTGCTGGTAATCCAAGTGTTTGCTTATGGCCTGGGAAGGTTACAGTAAAACACATGTTGTTTACAGCATCACTGGTAGTTGGGCACATCTGACCACACTGGCTGAGCAGAGCCAGGCCAGGTGTGAGCAGGGAGAAGGGATGTGTAATGTACCCTCAGCTGCCTGAACTGCACATCCATAGGCCACCTACCAGCATGTCCAAGTAATTCGTGTGTGTCTGGATATTATGTCGATCTTCTGCTGCAACCTTCTTAAAGTTCTTAAGCTTCACAGGGAATCTTTTTGCCACGTTCACAAAAGGAACCATCCATTCTACACACTCTGAAATGTTCTCCCAATCTAAGCCTAGGGAATAGAACACAGGAATATATTTAAACATTATGAAGGAGTTGCAGTGTTCCAAAATGGCCATAAGTTTAAAAAAACAATAAATAATAGTGCAGATAGAAATTCAGAAGCATCCTCCCAGAAACTGGCAGCATTTTCTTATGCTTGTTACATGAAAGGGTAGTGGCTAAGGATGGTGAGTGCAGGTCACAAGGGTTCTTGGTGCTTTCCAGGGAAGGCTGAAGCAACTTTCAGCTTCAACAGAATGTTTTGGGTCATGCTATAAAAATATACCCTGGGTGCTGCTGAGAGACATGACTGCTTGGGAACTACATTTTAGGAGAAAAAGTAGCCAAATATTTAGCTAATGATCCCTCAAATAATGGGAAATAATAGAGCGAGTATTATCCCAAAACCAAGAACAGTAAATCTGCCTCATTTCCTTAGCAAAGACTGCACTTCTGAAGGGGTGTCCTTCTTTTTTGAGTCTTTGTAACATCTGAAATGGTAGGAAGTGAAATTAGGGGGAAAAGAAACCCACAGAACAAACTATTAGTGTCCCTGTAGCTTTTGCTCTTTGGCAGTGTGGTAAACCAATACACTCCAGCTGCCTTGGGCCTGTGATAGCTTCCAGAATTCCCTGCTCAACAAGGCCAAGCTTTATAGCTGTGTCTTACCTGAAGCTTTCTTAACTATTTCAATTGAGGTATAGTGGCAGAGCGCTGCAGCAGCTAGTGTTCTGTACTGGAAATCCAAAGAATTCACATCCAGAATACACAGATCTAAAAGCTGAGGAAATGAAGAGTAACAAATTTTAACAGCTGATACTTTAGCATAATCCTGTCTCAGAGATGGCTATGCATACACATTCCTACAGGTTCTGCCCTGGAACAGGGCTGAGCTCCAAGAAAATACTTTAATAAATTTAAATACTACCTAGTGTGGTATTTACATCACTGAGCTACCCAGCTTCAGTAAACCTGAGATTAGGCACAATACATGCCCATGCAAACTGAACCACACACTCAAAACAGACAAAACACTCCCCAGGCTGCCTTCTCAGCAATTACACAGAAACACAGTTAGGGGCAACACAGTTAAAACCAGCCAACTTTCTGTAGGGTCCTAAATTATCCACCTCCCTCTCAGAGCTGTTGCTGCTGTTTACCGAGTGCTACAGTGTATAGCAATTAAAGAAATAACAGAGATTTTTATTTTTCCAGGGTACAGTAAAATTTTAAAATATGTGAAGCAGGGAGACAAGAAACAGGGGTGCTTGTCCTCAAAACTGAATATGAACTTTGGTGGTAGAGTCAAACTTGCACATTCCTTAAAAAGTAACAGGTGAGTGTAAACAAGGGAACACTTCCTTTCATGGCTTTTGAGGTGTAATGTTAAGTTTTTCTTGTCATCACTCCAAGAAGCACTTTCCAACAGTTTAGTACCTACCTGTGCTATCTGAATGAATTTTTCCTGAGAATACTGAGGTAGCAGCACTTTTGGAACATCCTTCAGAGCATCCACTTGAAGATAGAGGTTCAGCCAGGAGACAATTGTCACTGGACAGAGTTCCCATTTTAAAGCCTGCAAATATTTACCAAACAGTTAAGTGCCTTAAACCACTTGAGGATAGTTTTCTGCTCTGACTTCTTCACATACCCCTTCTTATGAGATTATTGCACAGATTGTTAAAAGACCCTAATGATCATGTACAATTTCAAGTACAAACAGTCACTTCAGATTGCATTCTCACTGCTTTTTGAACAGGGTTTGCTACGATCAGCACAAACATGTATCCCTATGCTTTTGCAGTTGGATCTTGTGTACCTTCCCCATTCAGAAGTTAAAGAGTATTTCCTCAAGCCTTCAGGCTAGCTGCCTGAACCTGCAGCTCATATCTGTTAAGGAAGAATAGATTTACAAAGAGTTCTGTGCTGGTAAGGATGGATCCTTGCCAACATGAGGGGCACTGAGTAGTATCAGGTCTTTGCCTGGCTCTCTAGAGACCCCTGTTCCTGGACAGCAAGGGACCTTGGAAAGCACAGTGCATTACACTGACAGCCTTCTAGCCTGCCCCAGTAAGAACCTTTATGTTCATACAAGCATGAGAAACCTGCTTGACTTCTCACAGTCAGGGACTGTACCCCAGCCAGGGGCTTCAGAGGTCCACTGCACATACAACAGAAACAGGGACGTACTAAACGTGTTCTTTCTAAGCAAATAAGTGACATTAAAACACAAGGCTCAGCTGGACAGTCTTCCAACCAGCACTTAAAAACACAGCTAAGTTATTACCTTTAACATAATAAGTTCCATTCTTACAATATCATCTTCACTGCAAGCACCATCAGTGACATAAGCAAATTCCTGTATTTTAGGAGCATAGATTTCCTTTAAAGGGAGAGAAGGGAGGGAAAATGAAGATTAGAGTGTCTTACAGTTCTAAGAAAGACTGAGAAAATACTGGCAAATACTTTTCTGTCCCTATCAACATGTTTACATTCCTTATGCTACAACAGTGTTTTTCTCATGTGTGAGGTAACCTGAAACTCACAGGATGAGGAGATAACATATAACCTACTTGTTTTTTAATATGTTGTAAAACACAACGGAGTTACAGCAACTCTTTTAGCTTTTGTGGAAATAAATGCTGACCAAGCAATCAGAATCCCCTTTCATTTATACTCTTTCTACTCAGCCATTCCAACTGATGGGAAAACATGCACCATCCTAATTCTGGTACAGGACACTGCTGTGCTAGAAATGGGTGGCTACTACAGGTTACCTGCAACATCAGTGCTGAGGTAGTTGTGCAGATTAAAAAAAAAAAATTAAAAAGCTAGAGAAAGATGAGAGAAAATGCCAGCCACTCTAACTGGCAAAATCCATACTGCAGAGATGGTTAACAAGGAAATTTGCCAACCCAGTCATGCCAGTTGGGACCAAGCATAGCTAGGTGTGTTAGTAAAAGAGTGTGTGCCAGCAAAACTCCTTCTATACCAGCTGGCTCTGTGGCCACTCTACAGCCCCACACACTTCCTTAGGACAGGTAGCACAGAACCTTACACTGGGAATAACAGTGAGATTCCCAGTATTAAAACATAATATCCCAAATGTTCCGCTCAGCCTGGCCTACCATGCACTACACAAAAATATGCTCTTGGCTCGGAGCTGTAGCACACAATGTAACATGTCACCATTGCTGCACTTTAAAAGACTAAAACTCCACTAAATGGGTTTATAAGGATATCAGCCTGATGTACAGGCAGTTTGAGACTTAGGCTTGGTTTTGTTCAAGTCCCACACCCATTCCTGAGACTGTTTGCCAACTGCTGTATATTTGAAAAAAGACAAGACAAAACAAAACAAAGCTACTTCTAGCACGTTTGCATGCCTTTTAAGTTTATGTGGTCTCCTTCCCTGCTGCTCAGGAAAGGGAGGACAAAGACTACACTCCAAGAGATTGACATATGCACAGCTGAAGGAAGACAAAAAAATTTCCCCTTCTGACCCTCAGTATTGTACATACACCATCAAGTTCAAAAGATTCAGACAGAAGAAATAAATGTTATCACCGTCCTTTTAGTTACTCCAAATTCAATATCCTCCCTGTAAGAGAGATTCTTACCTCAAGTTTGGAGGCAATGAATAACGAGGTAATTCCTATGAGCTGAAGCATGCTCTTGTTAATATTCTTTTGTGTCAACATGAATCTATCAAAAAAGTCTTGAGCTAGATAGAAGGTTTCCCGATGGAGTGCATACACCTCACACACCTACAACAGGAAAAAGAAACCAATTCAGTTTTCTGTTATATAACTGTGTACACACATTGGAGTATTCAAGCTTTAATAGCAAAACACAATGTGCACTATTTCATCTTTTGCACACACAAACCATCATATACCTAAGTGTGGAAGGGTGCAACGGTTAGTATGGGATTGGAAAAGGTATTTCCCATTGCTCCCATCCAAACACAAATTGCCTATGATATACTAACATACTTTGAAAAAATACTTTTTCCAATTTAAATAGCAATCATTTTTCCTAAAAATGCGTACAGTTTTTCACTCAAAGCCTTGTTGAGGGGAAAACCCCAACAAAACCGCAACGTGCGCACACACACACACACACACACACACACACTAATTAGCTAGATTAAGAATACTAAGGGCTCAAACCTCAAGTCGAAGTCAGTGAGCAAATCCTCCCTGTATTCGTAGTAGGTCTGTCCCGGGGTAGAACCATTAAAAAAAACTGAAGCCTTTGGCTCTACGGCAAACGAGCCTGGAAGCTGCTGCTGGAGGGGCCTCTGCTGGCAGGCCAGGAGCGCTGCCTGCAGCCCCTCAGGCTCACTGACGGCCTCACTAAGCAGGAACAAAACTACAAGAGCGGCCATCTGCTCCATCCCAGTGCGTGTTTCCCTGGCAGGGAGAACTTTTAATACACGCATTGTATCAAAGTGTTTCAAATGTCAGTTCAACAAAAAAGGCGAGGAGATTGCCCAGGCCTGGAGATCTTAGGGGGAGCTCTACTTTTTCATATAATCTCTAATTTAATTTGGGTGAGACTACCACAAATGCATCTTATCTGCAACTCTATATCCCTTCCACAACTAGAAAACAGTTAGATATCTATAAATTACTTACAATCTACATGCAGTAAAGAACAGGAACAGAAAAGAATATCCAAGAAATAGATCCTAAGTGCTTCATTATTTCACTTGGATACTATTAGCTATTTCCCAAGATAAGGTTGGAGGCTCATTTGCAAATTAAAACCCTTCCTGACCACCAAAAATTCAACTGGTTGGCAGAAATAGCACAGCCCATTCTTTTAGACCTGATATAATATTTGCCAATTGCTGTGCTACTCTGATGTTATTTGTTCCAAAGAAGATTCAGAATCACAACTGTACAGATCAGGCCCACCCATAAATAAATGGCATCACTATTGTAAAAGTGTATTGTCCAAACATAATAATGCTTATTGTAAAAGTGTGTTGTCCAAACATAATAATGCTTATTGTAAAAGTGTGTTGTCCAAACATTAAACAGTATCTCAGTTATAATATTACAGAAGACAGTGTTAGGAGTTGCTGGGATTTAAATCCACTGTGGCGTGTTGAACCACCAAGCCAGACAACAGCAAGGCCCTTGCTGACATTCTTGTTTGGAAACTGGGTGATTTCCTAAGAGTTCAAGACTTTAGAAAAAGTGCAACAAACCAATGTAATGGTAGTATGTAAATTACACTTTAGAGGAAGTAGAAGCACACAACTAGAATAGTTTTTATATTCAGCCCATATTATTAAAAAAACAAAAACACTTTCCTTTTTCTTGAAATTCCCTGCTCTTAGCACTGGCTGCTCCACCAAGACAGTGAGAGTGCCACCATAACATCTGCTTCCTTGGAATACTTGATGTGGAATTGATAATCCTGCAAGGACTCTTCTCCTGATGGGCAAGGACTGCATCAGGCAAAGATTGCTTTTGGCAGTGGTGATTGAATTTGCTCAATATAAAGTTCTTGGAAACACCTCCAAACCATAACTTTCTATTTACAACACTGATACTCCTTCACATAGGCTGCCAAGATTGAGAGCTTTTATTGGACAACTGGAATAGTCTTAAGTAAACCAATTAGATCAGAATATGGATATGATTTATTTGTAGACCTTTCACATAGGGATCTGTCTATATCAAGAACCTTCAGCTCTCAGCCACTGATGTACTACTTTCTTCTGCTCTCTTCATATGATACAATTAAAAATTCCCTATGGAGTCAGTAAATAGCACCAGGGGCTGACACTCCAAAGCTCTTGACAGGGACAGGGTGATAACTCAAGTCCTCGATACAGATGTTTCATGGCTTAGATACAGTCTAACACGTAAAGTCAGAGTTCCATACCTGGTCTGTCTATAGCAATTTCACTACAAGTCTCAAAATTAGATTTCTCTCCCTTGCAAGAAGTAGTATGGCAAGGGCAAAAGTTAACTACTATTGCTCACTGTCCTGTGTGGAACATTCAGCATCTCCTGCCAGGGAAGACCTGGATGTAGCTCACCAAGGGGATCAGAAGAAGTCACTGGTTCTGTTGCAAAATAGTTTTGCCATTTTTTCATAACAGAATGTGTTGGTATTAGATATTTGTATAAAAGCTGTGCTTCTACCTGCCTACTTCACAGGCACAACACATGGCAAAGTAACTAAAAGAACACACCTCCAAGAGCCAGTCCAACAGTATCGATCTCATGTGAGGCTGCAAACTGGAATGTAGTGACGTGAAGTGTTTGCAGTGAGCGTATCTGTTCTCCTTCATCAGGATGTTCAGCCAGATATCTTTGGAGTTTCCCCAGCTACAGAATAGAATTACACAAAGCATTATTAAGTATATATTCAGCTCACAAAAGGAGAATAAAAACACTATTTATTGTTTACAGACATTCGGAAACAAAAATTCCACATACTACGAGATCTTTACGGTAATCGCAAAACTGCAGGTGTACCTGGGACACTTTACACCACCACAACAGCAGCCTGCAAAGATCATCAGCAAGTCCAGTTCCATAGAACAGACATTAAACCTGAACATGTGCCTCCCAAAGTTGCACATGCAGGTAGTTTCCTATTTTGCCTAGTTGGGTTGCTGTTCAAAGAGCGAGATAAAACCAAAGCCTCCCCCCTAAAAAAAGGTAACACATCCCCTCCCTAAGAAAGAGAAGACATACATGAAGTTGGTCCAGCTTAGTTTGAGAAAAACATTTACAGATGGTATTTAAAAGTCACTCATCCATCCCTTTATTGCCTAGCCTACTTCAAGGTTCAGAAGCAGGCTACTGAGAGGAAAACTGAGTTCCTGTTTATTGCTAACATTTGCACTCCAGTCTACTTGGGAAGATGATGCCCATATCATCAATATGGTTTCTTTGTATTTGTTATTAATTGATATCGGCTTTTTCTTAGATGTACTTCTCATGCTGCAGGTACTAAGAGGGACAGTGTGTTAACCAGTGAAATTATGATCTCCTACTGAACTTTTCGGAGCTTTATATTTACCTTTCCCCAAGCAGAAGTAGAGAGACAGAGCTGATCACAGGTATTGCCTACAAATTCTAAACCACATCAGTTTCGTTCTGCCATCATAAGTTAAAAGCTGGAGAGATACTTGTTTGTTTAAAGCACAAGTCCCCCAGTTTAAGCAAGCAAGCATTGAGAAATCAATTACGATCTTCCTACAGCAATTAGGGAAGTGTGAAGAAGTCAGGAAAAGTAAATTATCCTCTTATTCAGTTTATCAGAAAGGATGGAGGTCAGCTTTACTAGATGTCTATCAACAAGAGGATTAAACACCTTGCATGGAATTCTGTATCTGACCATGGCTTTGAGGCAAAACATCAACAGGCATCATCTCCCAGTTCTGATCAAGTTTTGGCCAGAACAAAAAAAAACCCAAACTGTATCTAGAAAGTTTCTCTTAAAGTAATGCTTCACATTCTGCTTCTTTTCTCATTCACCTCAGCAGAAGTTTTCCCTAATACACTGCAGTAAATTTACCACCTCTTTCTTTAAACCCCAGGCTGATACAAATAGCAGCTGATACTCATCTAACACACCTGAATGTCTAAGAAATTCTGAAACTGAAAACTATGATTTAGTCATATAATCTACCCCTCTGCAGAAGGGAAGCTTTCTAGAATTGTGACTGCACTAAGCATACTGTACTGCATTAGCAAGCTACTCGTGATATTGCCACAAGTTTATCTGAACATTTTAAAGTTCTCAGTGAAAACTTTGCTTCATATTTTTTGGTCACTCAATTCTAATAGTACTGAAAAAGTTTAGTTTAACCATTATGTGCCTCTTAACCACTTGGAGTCTCCAGTGTTGTTATAAAAGGACAGCTTTGAAAGATGAAAATTATCTGTCTGGGAAGATAAAATAAGATCAAGAAAAAAAAACCAAAAAAATGTCTATCTTTTTTTTTTTGAGACATTGAATTTTTTGTGGAATGAGGAGACAAGCAGAGGTGTGTATTATACAAGCACAATGCAACAGATTTTATTGCAGTAGTTTAGCATATTTGATGAAACATCAACAACTACTGCATCAAGTAAACTTACTTGAGTTCAGGCAAAGGCGACGGATTTATGAAGAGGTTACTGAACCTGTACTTTTTGAATCTTGAGAAGTCAGTGGTCACTGATTCTTTGTGAGGTGTTTCAATAATTATGCAAGGCGAGATGCCTCCAGTTATCGTGGGCGGCCAACAACTCTGCAAAACAAACAAGGTATCTTTAAAATGCTGGTTTTACTGGGAGAGTAAGAAAGGTACGAAGTAGATTATAGTAACAGCAATATATGTAAAGTATGTTAGTCTTTTTGGATCTCAGCATCAATTCAGGCACCGAAACCAAGAAAGACAAATCAAATGCCAATAAAACCTTTCACAGTAAAGAGGGAACATGTATAAACAGATTTGATGGATTTGGGGAACTCAGCTTTGACAGAGACAACCGTCTGTAGTTCATGAACCCACAAGTAACCTATTTGTTGCTTGAGTTGCTCAGTTACAGTACAAAAGGCAAAGATACTCATTGGTACTAAAACAGAAGACTGTAGGTTGCTAGTCCTATCTACTTATCTACTCAGAGGGAAAAGAAAGGAGAGGGTGGAGGTTCTACTGTCTCTCAGTGGAAATTCAGCAACTTGTTATCTTCCAATTAAGTGTTCCAGAGAGGAGCCACCCATCTCAGCTCCAGAGCTAGATACCCACTAAGCAAGCAGCAGCTGTTAATACCTCTCAGCCTGCAAATGCCAAATATGGGATGCAATGACTCAAAAGGAAAGAAGTGCAAAGGTATTCATGCAGAAAGCCTCAGAGAAGGAATTCTAGATTACTGTAGTTAACTATAACCTGTTTCACTAACACTTATTTGGCTCTACATAACCAATACAAGTAAGGAGATACCAAATCCAAGGAGCACATGCAATGTTGTAGTGGCTGACAACCTTCAAAATGGTGACACAGAACTTTAATTGTGTGGAGTTGGGGGAGAAATCCCATTCATAAAGAATGGCAACAACAGCCTCTGAACACAGAAACTTTTCCTATATAGTTGACTTGCAAGGTAAACTACACAGGATTCCCTTAGTATATCCAAACCTATTTATAGCCAGACTTCGGTATCCCAAGAGTAAAGTTACATATTCCAGCAGAATTGACCTTAAGGTGCAGCCCAGAGAAAAGGGAGGTCCTACTCCTCCTTCTCTCCTGTGGTCCTCACTGCCCAAGTCCACCCCTTCCTTCTTTGGTCAGCTTTGATGCTTGTCAGACCCTCTGCTGGGTTGATTCAACTCACTAACCTGGCAAAACATTAACTGAACCTGTATACTGCTTCATTCAAAGAGAACCAAAAACAGAGCAAGGCAGGGGATGCAGTGCATGGCCAGCTATCCAGGAAGGAGACAGGAAAGCAGTATTTCCCCCTTTCAGCAAAGGTAAGTTGTGACACGCAGTTTCACTCCAAGTACAGCTGATGTACTCACACAGCATTTTTTCCTACTCAAGGTTTACAAAGATAGCCCCACAATCAGAAGAGTTTCACTTCACCACAGCTGTTAAGTCTCATTTACTTTACAAACAGAAAAACTGCAAACAAGATTGTTTGCAAGAGAAACTTATATTATTTTACTAATCAGCTTTAAAATAAATGTCTGTAAAGCCCCTCACTTGTTTTAAGAGCAGCCAGTGTTAGTGAAAACAGATTCCTAAATTGATTTAAATAATCAAAAGAACTGTTAAATGAAAGTAAAGACAGCCTGCATGGTTATGAGACAACTAAATGGCCGTGAAACCACACCTAAAGTTAAAACAAGTGCAATGATCTTGTTTAGACTCGCCTCTAGGCCTTACCTGCTCTGCATATGGAATTGTTCTGAAATATCTGGATTTATTCTTTTACACCTAACCTACTCTGCAGTGGTTTTTACATTGAAGGATCCTTTATCTGCAACAAAGTCACATGTAAAAAAGGCAAAAACATTTAAAGAGGTGCTAAGCTCCCACAGCTTTTAATATCTGAAGATACAAACTTCCCCTATTCAATACTTTCTGGTGTCAAATGCATCATTTCACACCCATCAACATAAACCAGATGGAGTCCCTCACCTAGTTTGATCTGGTATTCAGGATTGAATTACCTTAATCTCATATTGATGTTTTTTAGCAATTTTTCCATCTTCTCTTTTCTTAATCTCCTGCTGAGAAGAGACACACATCAATACACTGACAGTGAGCAGCACACCCATCTCTAGAGCTCAGGCAAACTCTTGCTACCCCATCCCACTTTATAACTTGGCAGAGTAAAAGACTGTCCCATCCAAATGCACTGGAGAACTTTCAGTATTATTAAACTTTTCAAGTTGCCCAAATAGGTCACCTCTGCTGTTCTCCTTTTTCTGGTCTGGAGATAGTCTAGTGTTTTTAGTTCTTGTGGAGACTCTTCTTGACAGGACAGTGGCTGCTGCTGCTTGGCTTGCAAACGGCTACTGCGAAGAGCAAGAAGACATTAGACATTGGGAGAGCAGCAGTTGTTGGATGAGTACAGATAATCCTGGCACAACACTAACAGCTTACCTGCGTCTTGACATCTTCTTTGGGTTTTAAGATCTCTACCTGGATCAAAGGAATAAGATGAGCTCAGATAGCGTATCATCACAAAACTAAGACCAAGTTCCCTACTTTACATCATGAACTCATCACAAAAAGCAACATGGTTTACACAACTCAAACAGAAGGGCACAAGTACTCTACTGGCCTCAGGAAGCCCTGAGCAGAGCATGACTGTGGTATATAACCACACACGGCTCCATGTCCTGCTGCAGGGTGCCCAGGTGTGCCAGTGGCCAGTGTGACTCAGGCTGGATTGGGATGTGGAGGAAGTTGTAAAGGG